AGCCCTGCTTAACATCATGTGCAACCAGGAAGTATTCTTGAGTAATGCAGTTGGATTCATGCCATCATAAAATTGACAAATGATCTCGACAATAATATCCGAGCAGCAACAGAGACGAAAGAGCTTCCATTTCATTTCTCTGTCGACAGCCTCGGTGAAGTCAAAAAAGACTATGTAGAGAGTTCGATGTTGATCAATGGACTTTTTCAGCAGTATTCCTCGTGTAAAGACCATATCCACGATGGAAAAAGTTTGTTTTCAAATTGTACTGTGGTCTTATACACAACACTTTTCATTAAGCATTTTCCAACAGGAACAAACATTTTTGTCGAATGCACCCTTTTCGCCATAAGTTAGAATGCCATTCACCACTTTCCAAGATTGTCTGACACGAAAGATTAATTCCAAATAATTTGCATATATTATTGAAAATCTTCATTGTTTTCCATGTTAGAACATTTGAATTTAAATGGATTATGTTTATAAGTTTTTAAAAATTTAATAGCATTAGATCATACGACTATATACCCTTGAAGCACCGGTTAACGTACGATCACAGAAGTTAAGCAACGTCTAACATGTTATTACTTAGATAGGGGACCGCTTGACAATGCAAGGTGCTGTTAGCGTGGATGTGCGCGTGGTGTAATAGATAATGGTTCGGAAATGTTAAAAGGAGAGCAGTTTGAATTCCAGTTTGACTCGTTATATTAAGTTACGCACAAATACACTTGAGAAAGATATGGATCCACCTGTTCTCACCCCAACTATGGGTTAATTAGTAGGAAAAATCACTAAAACGTTATTATCTAAAAATTAATTCTTACAATCTAAAAATATTTCCTGAAAAGCGTAGATAAGCCATAGAAAATAGACCACTCAAACACACACACACATACACACACATATACATACATACGTACTTTCCCGAGTCTCCCGTCGAATTCAACGTATGAGGATCAAGCAGATCAGTTCCCAGTAAACCGACAGCACGACACCGGCACATGAGATTTGATTATAGGGGTGAAGGTTTCGTGCAGGACCATCCACACTTTTTGAAGGGCCGAATACAGAGACCTGGTGCACTAAGTGCCACAAAATCCCCAAACGACCCTCCGCCGATTTTGAATTCAGATTGTCCTTCTCCTAAACCAATTTCCACCCAAGGCCATAGAACCCGGTCTGTCCTGCTATTTACTCATAGAAGGGGGGAGAAAACAGGAGTAATACCTTTCCCAAGGTTATTAGCGCGTAAGTGAATGTAATGTATTCGACTCGAACTCAAATTCTTCCGTTGATGATAATCTCTATGAACTGCTTAAGACTTATTTTCACAGGATTCTTGTTAAGCATAACGTGTCTGGGAAAATGTTTGTTTAATGATACGTCAGTATGTTTAGTTATTACTTTCAGGTTAAAGGTGGGGTGGTTGAAACCAATATTTTTAGAAGAGCATCCACAACAAAGAATAACACAAGAGCGGAAATCTCTCTGAGAGGAAATGGTTTTTACATATTGAATTTATAAGGCTCATTTGACACTGTGGATGTAGCGTCCCACGCATTGAATAACTGAACAGATAGATAGATAGATAGATAGATGAATGAATAGATGATAGATTGATTTAGATATGACATGAGATAGAATAATAGTTAGATAGATAGATAGATATGTACAGAATGAGATGAAGAGAATGATATATATATATGTAAGGTTAGAAGTATCTGCCTCGATCCTCGTTGCCGTGAATGTCTTGTTTTAGTCTCGCCTCTCTCATGTAAGCGGGCGAATATTTTTGGGTGTGACGCCAAGAATTCCGGTCTTGTAACGCTAGGCGTCATCGATTCCACCCTACACGCCCCTCCTTCCGGGGCCACAAGATACTCGCGTTGTGGTCCAATGTTTTGAAGTCGTGCGACGTGCCCCCCACGTTTATACGACGCAAACCTCCATCATTCCAGGGATGCTGTGTCATCTACCTCCATCGGTTCTGGTAAGTGTCGAATGGACCATTCTCCCGGTATTTCGGGCCCTGTTGGGTTGTCTATGGTATCCAACATTCCTGGGGGCATGAGGTATCGAGGGCAAGGAGTATCTACTACTGCTTTTATTTTCGAGGAATCTGCGATTGCGATGGGTTACCCGGTTACTCCCATCCATGCGTACATTAACAGAGTGTTTCCCCCACCTTCCTGTCTTTGCCCATCGGCGCGGGTATGGACCAACTTGGTTCTGTATCTGCACCGTTTCCCCGATTTTCAGTTCCTGAAGTGGGTGACTTTTTAGATTGTATTCTCTTTCATTCCTTAAGTGTTTTTTTGCCATCGCTGTTTCCCTATAATGACTGATTTTCTCCAGCGATGGATTGATATCGGTCCTGGAGCACTGGGAGATGGAATCACGCGATAGCATCATATGGAGACATATGTAGGTCTCTGTACCGGGTGTTGCGATGAATGGATATGGTCATGGCATAGGCGACCGCAATGAATATTCAAGTATCCTTTTTTAGCCGTTTTAACTGCTAGTTCTGCTCTCCCTGTTTTTGAGGGGTACTATGCCGATGATGTTCGTTCCTTATAGATAGGAACCGGTTAAATTCACTGGGAGTCAAACGGTGGTTCGCCAATTACGTGCAGAACCAGTTTCGTAGGGCGTCACATGTAATTCCCGGACGACATCAGAGTGACTTCACCCATCCGGTGTATCTATGCATATACTAGATGGTTCTTCCCTCGTAAATCGAAATGGGGAACTCGGATGCATTAGGGGTTCCTTTGGGTTCTGATGGATTATTACGTTGCACATACTTTGCACTGGGCCCGTTTGACGAATGCTCGCGTCCATATGTTTATATTATGATGATATGAATGGATATATATCCGCACGTAGCTTTCTGGGTATATATATTTATAGATACCCTCTTTCATATGCCAAACCGGCGAATTGTCTCCGGCAGTTCAGCGAGATTTAGGAAGTCATTTTGTATGAATTCCGGCGAGGGAAGATCCTCATCAGTAGCAGCTGCAGCCACAATCCTGTCCCATGTTAGCTCAGGTGAAGTTAAATGACGTTTTATACATCCATAGTTTGTGCGGTGTCCTTCTGTTTGCTTCCCTCCTGGCTTAATATCTTGGATGTACAGTCTGGTGCCGCATTGAGTTTGCTAGGGAGATGTTTTATTCGAAAAGGACCGTTTTTTTTAAATAGTCTTGGGTTCCTTACATATCTTCACCAGGGGCTTATGGTCCACGGTGACTAACAGCTCGGCACCCAAAAACGAACATCCCAGTTCCAGTCCTGCTATTCTCCACTCATCGGGACTCTGCGTCATTAGTGAATCGGGGAGCTGGCCAGATTAACTTCCAGGTGGTCTCACCACACTTCGGTCCAGCTTGCGGCACAGTTAGATGAAAAGAAAATATCCTAATTGAAGTCCGTCGACAAACAAGTTGGCCTATTCACTGAAGGTTCTACACCGATAAGATAAATGACTCTTCGAAGATGATCGAGTGTGCTGTCCCAGAAGATTTTTTGTCTTTAGCAGATGAATATCTTATGTCAATGTTCTTCCCACCCATGAATGGCGTGACCAATCAGAAAGATCTTTTTGATGGAATTTTTTCTGAGCTTGGTGGACGAATACGCGTTTTTTGCTGGTGAGAAGTGAACTGCTTTTACGATAAGGTAGCAGCGAGACGACGTGTAGCTCGAAATGAATAGATAGACTGCTGGTCTTGGTAGACCATTCTGGTCTTGTAGATAGATTAATAATGGATATATACAAACATAGATATAATATATATATAGAGAGAGAGAGAGAGAGAGAGAGAGAGAGATGAATAGAATAAGATAGATAGATAGATTGAAAATATTGTTTTTAAATATAGGGGAAACCATATCAATAATGAACATCTATTAACGAAGATAGATAAATAAATAAACAGAGGTAAAAAGATAGATAGATAGATAGATAGACGAGAATATCAAACATAGATATCGAGATAGAGAGAGAGAGGGAGAGAGAGAGAGATACTGAACAAGTGAACATAGAGAGAGAGAGCGAAAGAGAGAGATAGATTGACGAGATATCTGTAGACATGTGCAGTGGAACGAGAACATTCTAAACACCCGGAGATTAAATAATGGATTCAGTTCACTCCTTGGATCGGGTAGTGTGCACATGGAAACAAAGCGGAGAATAACTGAGCATTATTAAAAGTAAAAACTAGACGAGATATCCCCAGACATGAGCAGTTGAACGAGACCTGTCTATACCCTCGGAGATTAAATAAAGGATTCAGTTCGATTTTCCCTGTAGTTTAGCCAGATTGATAATAAACCTGATGGAAATCGGTCAGTCCAACGGCTGGGACGTTATAATACAAAACAACAATAAAATCTTCTCGGAATATAAACAGTGTAAATAATTGATTGATTGATTTTTGTCGGATTACCAGCCTTCATAGGGTCATTTAAACCGAAACAGAATTTTTATAGGAAGATATTTTTGGACATAATAATGATTTTGAGATGCAAGACTTAATATTTAACCCATAGTTGAAAGGAGAAGATTCTTAATTCTTAATTTTCCCGAATTTATTTGCCTGAAAGCGAATATAACGAATCTCACAGAAATTCGAACTCTGATCTCCCATTCCGAGCCGATATCCTTTACCTCACGAGCAAACTCTGTCTTACAACATTTGGTATTTCCAGAGCGGTCACCTATCTAGGTACTGACCAGGCACGACTTTGTTTTACTTCGGTGATTGTAGGGTAACCGGTGTTTCAACGTGATATGGCCGTAAGCCTTAAATTTTGCCAATTTGAACGCTTTTTATGCATATGCGCATATTGATGTGATTGTGAATGTGCCTTTGAGTGCAAATACGTCTGAGTATCTTTCCATTTGTCTCTCTGTGTTTTGTGTACGCGGACTAATGTGTTTTGTCTTCGCCACTTAAACCGTTTGCTTGCAAACAGAGCGCCCTCTGGCGATGAAGGGTGTCACTGAATGGAATTGTTTTCCCTTTTCTTCATCCGGAAACACTATGTCCGCCACAGATGCCCAAATCAATAACCTCTTCTATCACCTGTTCCCATATTTTCCTCCGTTTCTTAAGATATCCACCCCAACAATACTTTTGGTTTGGTTTTATCATGTTAGATATTCTTGTGGACAAGCCTTCAAGCTTTCTCGTATTTTTTGTTTGCCTCTTCTTCTCTTTCAGAAAGAAAAAGAAGAAAGAGGCAAACAAACCTTTCTTCTTTCTTTCTTTCTTTCTTTCTTTCTTTCTTTCTGAATTGCTATCTTCTTTCTTCTTCTCTGTATTTTTTCTTCTTTATCTTTCTTTTTCTCCCTTTCTTTCTTGCTTGCTCTTTATACTTCCATGTTTTTTTTCTTTTTTCTTCATTTCTGTTTTTATTGAATTTTGATTCTTTTATGTTTTCTTTCTTTCTTCTTCTCTGTCTCTATTATATTTTTTTATTTTTTTCTTTGTCTCACTTTTTCATTCTTTCTCAATTTCTTTATCTTTCTTTCCTTCTTGTTTTTTTATTCTTCCATATTTGCTTCATTTTTTTATCTCTTTCTTCTTGCGTTTTCATTCTTCTGTGTTTTTCTTTTTTCTTCCTTTCTTTCTTCTACTATTGTTTTTTTTTAATTCTTGCTATTTCTTCCATTCTTCCTCTCTTTCTTTTTCTTGTTTTTTATTCTTCATTTTCTTTCTATTTTCTTTTTCTTTGCCCATGTTATTATTCTATGTTTTTCTTTCCCAATTCATATTTGCTCTCTTTCTACCTCGTATACGCCATTTTTTATTCCCTTTCTTTAGAAATTTATTTAATTTTTTTATTATTTATTTCTTCTCTTTCTTTCACTCTTTCCTTTTCCCTCTATTTCTTTTTGGATTTCTTTCTTCGATTTCTATCTTGATTTACTTTTGCCTTTTTTCGTTTCCTCTGTTCACTTTCTTTCAAGCTTTTCTTCTTCACTTTCTTACAGGCATTCCTTCTGCCTCTATATCATTTTCGTTTTCCTTCTCTTTCTTTAATTTTTTATTTTTGCTTCCATTTCATTTTCGTTTTCTTTCTTGTCTTTCTTTCAAGCTATTCTTCTTCTCTTTCATTCAGGCTTTCCTTTTGCCTCCATTTCTTTCTTACTACCATTCTTCTCTTTCTTTCACGCTTTCCTTCTTCTCTTTTTCATTCTTTCGTATGATCTTCATTTCTGTTTTACTATCCTTCTTTTCTTTCTTTCACGCTTTCCTTCTTCTCTTTTTCATTCGTTCCTTTTGCCTCCATTTCTTTCTTACTACCCTTCTTCTCTTTCGTTCACGCTTTCATTCTTCTCTTTTTCATTCTTTCCGTTTGTCTCCATTTTTTTTACTACCCTTCTTCTCTTTCTTTCACGCTTTCCTTCTTCTCTTTTTCATTCTTTCCTTTAGTCTCCATTTCTTTTTTTAATATCCTTCTTCTCTTTCTTTCACGCTTTCCTTCTTCTCTTTTTCATTCTTTCGTATGATCTTCAATTCTTTTTTACTACCCTTCTTCTCTTTCTTTCACGCTTTCCTTCTTCTCTTTTTCATTCTTTCTTTTTGCCTCCATTTCTTTTTTACTACCCTTCTTTCTCTTTCTTTCACGCTTTCCTTCTTCTCTTTTTCATTCTTTCCTTTTGTCTCCATTTCTTTCTTACTACCCTTCTTCTCTTTCTTTCATGCTTTCCTTCTTCTCTTTTTCATTCTTTTCATTTGTCTCCATTTCTTTTTTACTATCCTCCTTCTCTTTCTTTCATGCTTTCCTTCTTCTCTTTTTCATTCTTTCCTTTTGTCTCCATTTCTTTTTTACTATCCTTCTTCTCTTTCTTCCACGCTTTCCTTCTTCTCTTTTTCATTCTTTCCTTTTGTCTCCATTTCTTTTATACTACCCTTCTTCTCTTTCTTTCACGCTTTCATTCTTCTCTTTTTCATTCTTTCCGTTTGTCTCCATTTTTTTTACTACCCTTCTTCTCTTTCTTTCACGCTTTCCTTCTTCTCTTTTTCATTCTTTCCTTTAGTCTCCATTTCTTTTTTTAATATCCTTCTTCTCTTTCTTTCACGCTTTCCTTCTTCTCTTTTTCATTCTTTCGTATGATATTTATATCTTTTTTACTACCCTTCTTCTCTTTCTTTCTCGCTTTCCTTCTTCTCTTTTTCATTCTTTCCTTTTGTCTCCATTTCTTTTTTACTATCCTCCTTCTCTTTCTTTCATGCTTTTTCCTTCTTCTCTTTTCATTCTTTCCTTTTTGTCTCCATTTCTTTTTTTACTACCTTCTTCTCTTTCTGTCTTTCCTTTCCTTCTTCTTTTTCATTCTTTTCTTTTGTCTCCATTTCTTTTTTACTACCCTTCTTCTCTTTCTTTCACGCTTTCCTTCTTCTCTTTTTCATTCTTTCCTTTTGCCTCCATTTCTTTTTTACTATCCTTCTTCTCTTTCTTCCACGCTTTCCTTCATCTCTTTTTCATTCTTTCCTTTTGTTTCCATTTCTTTTTTACTATCCTTCTTCTCTTTCTTCCACGCTTTCCTTCTTCTCTTTTTTATTCTTTCCTTTTGTCTCCATTTCTTTTTTACTATCCTTCTTCTCTTTCTTCCACGCTTTCCTTCTTCTTTTTCATTCTTTCCTTTTGTCTCCATTTCTTTTTCCTATCCCTTCTCTTTCTTTCACGCTTTCCTTCTTCTTTTTCATTCTTTCCTTTTGTCTCCATTTCTTTTTTTACTACCCTTCTTCTCTTTTCTTTCACGCTTTCCTTCTTTCTTTTTCATTCTTTCCTTTTGTTTCCATTTCTTTTACTACCCTTCTTCTCTTTCTTTCACGCTTTCCTTCTTCTCTTTTTCATACTTTCCTTTAGTCTCCATTTCTTTTACTACCCTTCTTCTCTTTCTTTCACGCTTTCCTTCTTCTCTTTTTCATTCTTTCCTTTTGTCTCCATTTTCTTTTTACTACCCTTCTTCTCTTGCTTTCAGGCTTTTCCTTCTTCTTTTCCTTTTCTTCCTTTTTTTCTTCTTCTCTTTCTTTCTTTTTTTCTTCTCTTTTTCATTTTTTACTCCATTCTTTCTTCTACCCTTCTTCTCTTTCGTTCAGGCATTCTTCCTTCTTTTCTTTTTCATTCTTTTCTTTATGATCTTCATTTTTTTTTTTTTTCCTTCTTCTCTTTTTCTTTCTTTCCTTTTTCACGCATTTCCTTTCTTCTTCTTTTTTCATTCTTTTTCTTTCCATTTTTTTTTTTTGCCTTTTCTTTCTTACCCTTCTTTTCTTTCTTTCAGGCTTTCCTTCTTCTTTTTTCATTTTTCATTCTTTTCTTTTGTCTCCTTCTTCTCTTTCTTTACTTACCTTCTTCTCTTTCTTTCTTTCTTTTTTTCCTCCATTACTTTTTTTTTTTCATTCTTTTTCTTTTTGTTTCCCTTTTCTTTTTTATTCTTTCCTTTTCATTTCTTTCTTTCTTCCTTCTCTTTCTTTCCTTTTCTTCTCTTTTTCATTCTTTTCATTTTGTTTCCATTTCTTTTTTACTATCCTTCTTTCTTTTCTTCCACGCTTTCCTTCATCTTTTTTTATTCTTTCCTTTTGTTTCCATTTCTTTTTTTACTATCCTTCTTCTCTTTCTTCCACGCTTTCCTTCTTCTCTTTTTCATTCTTTCCTTTTGTCTCCATTTCTTTTTTCCTATCCTTCTTCTCTTTCTTTCACGCTTTCCTTCTTCTCTTTTTCATTCTTTCCTTTTGTCTCCATTTCTTTTTCCCTATCCTTCTTCTCTTTCTTTCACGCTTTCTTCTTCTCTTTTTCATTCTTTCCTTTTTGTCTCCATTTTCTTTTTACTCCCCTTCTTCTCTTTCTTTCTTTCCTTTTCTTTTCATTTTTCTTTCTTTTACCTTCTTTCTTTCTCTTCTTTCTTTTCTTTTCATTCTTTCCTTTTGCCTCCATTTCTTTTTTACTATCCTTAATTTTCTTTTTTCTTCTTTTCCTTCTTTTTTTTCTTTCCTTTGCCTCCATTTCTTTTATACTACCCTTCTTTTTACTTTAGGCTTTCCTTCTTCTCTTTTCATTTTTTCCTTTTGTCTCCATTTCCTACCCTTCTTCTTTTTCTTTCTTCTTTCCTTCTTCTCTTTTCTCATTCTTTTTGCCTCCATTTCTTTTTTCTCCCTTCTTCTCTTTCGTTCACGCTTTCATTCTTCTCTTTTTCATACTTTCCTTTAGTCTCCATTTCTTTTACTACCCTTCTTCTCTTTCTTTCACGCTTTCCTTCTTCTCTTTTTCATTCTTTCCTTTTGTCTCCATTTCATTTTTACTACCCTTCTTCTCTTTCTTTCACGCTTTCCTTCTTCTCTTTTTCATTCTTTCTTTTTGCCTCCATTTCTTTCTTACTACCCTTCTTCTCTTTCTTTCAGGCTTTCCTTCTTTTCTTTTTCATTCTTTCGTATGATCTTCATTTCTTTTTTACTACCCTTCTTCTCTTTCTTTCACGCTTTCCTTCTTCTCTTTTTCATTCTTTCCTTTTGTCTCCATTTCTTTCTTACTACCCTTCTTCTCTTTCTTTCAGGCTTTTCCTTCTTTTCTTTTCATTCTTTCGTATGATCTTCATTTTCTTTTTTTTACTACCCTTCTTCTCTTTCTTTCACGCTTTCCTTCTTCTTTTTTTTCATTCTTTCCTTTTGTCTCCATTTCTTTTTTACTATCCTTCTTCTTCTTTCTTCCACTTTTCCTTCTTCTCTTTTTCATTCTTTCCTTTTGTCTCCATTTTTTTTTTCCTATCCTTCTTCTCTTTCTTTTCACGCTTTTCCTTCTTCTCTTTTTTCATTCTTTCCTTTTGTCTCCATTTCTTTTTTACTACCCTTCTTCTCTTTCTTTCACGCTTTCCTTCTTCTCTTTTCATTCTTTCCTTTTGTCTCCATTTTTTTTTTACTACCCTTCTTCTCTTTTCTTTCACGCTTTCCTTCTTCTCTTTTCATTCTTTCTTTTTGCCTCCATTTCTTTTTTTTTACTATCCTTCTTCTCTTTCTTCACGCTTTCCTTCTTCTCTTTTTCATTCTTTCCTTTTGTCTCCATTTCTTTTATACTACCCTTCTTCTCTTTCTTTCAGGCTTTCCTTCTTCTCTTTCTCATTCTTTCCTTTTGCCTCCATTTCTTTCTTACTACCATTTCTTCTCTTTCGTTCAACTTTCATTCTTCTCTTTTTCATTCTTTCCGTTTGTCTCCATTTTTTTTTTTTTACTACCCTTCTTCTCTTTCTTTCACTTTCCTTCTTCTCTTTTTCATTCTTTCCTTTAGTCTCCATTTCTTTTTTAATATCCTTCTTCTCTTTCTTTTCTTTCGCTTTCCTTCTTCTCTTTTTCATTCTTTCGTATGATATTTATATCTTTTTTACTACCCTTCTTCTCTTTCTTTCTCCTTTCCTTCTTCTCTTTTTCATTCTTTCCTTTTGTCTCCATTTCTTTTTTACTACCCTTCTTCTCTTTCTTTCACGCTTTCCTTCTTCTCTTTTTCATTCTTTCGTATGATCTTCATTTCTTTTTTACTACCCTTCTTCTCTTTATTTCACGCTTTCCTTCTTCTCTTTTTCATTCTTTCCTTTTGTCTCCATTTCTTTTTTACTACCCTTCTTCTCTTTCTTTCACGCTTTCCTTTTTCTCTTTTTCATTCTTTCGTATGATATTTATTTCTTTTTTACTACCCTTCTTCTCTTTCTTTCACGCTTTCCTTCTTCTCTTTTTCATTCTTTCCTTTTGACACCATTTCTTTCTTACTACCCTTCTTCTCTTTCTTTCAGGCTTTCCTTCTTTTCTTTTTCATTCTTTCGTATGATCTTCATTTCTTTTTTACTATCCTTCTTTTCTTTCTTTCACGCTTTCCTTCTTCTCTTTTTCATTCTTTCCTTTAGTCTCCATTTCTTTTTTTAATATCCTTCTTCTCTTTCTTTCACGCTTTCCTTCTTCTCTTTTTCATTCTTTCGTATGATATTTATATCTTTTTTACTACCCTTCTTTTCTTTCTTTCACGCTTTCCTTCTTCTCTTTTTCATTCTTTCCTTTTGTCTCCATTTCTTTTTTACTATCCTTATTCTCTTTCTTCCACCCTTTTCTTCTTCTCTTTTTCATTCTTTCCTTTTGTCTCCATTTCTTTTTTCCTATCCTTCTTCTCTTTCTTTCACGCTTTCCTTCTTCTCTTTTCATTCTTTCCTTTTGTCTCCATTTCTTTTTTACTACCCTTCTTCTCTTTCTTTCACGCTTTCCTTCTTCACTTTTTCATTTTTTTCCTTTTGTCTCCATTTCTTTTTACTACCCTTCTTCTCTTTCTTTCACGCTTTCCTTCTTCTCTTTTTCATTCTTTCCTTTTGCCTCCATTTCTTTTTTACTATCCTTCTTCTCTTTCTTCCACGCTTTCCTTCTTCTCTTTTTCATTCTTTCCTTTTGTCTCCATTTCTTTTATACTACCCTTCTTCTCTTGCTTTCAGGCTTTCCTTCTTCTCTTTTTCATTCTTTCCTTTTGTCTCCATTTCTTTTTTACTACCTTCTTCTCTTTCTTTCACGCTTTCCTTCTTCTCTTTCTCATTCTTTCCTTTTGCCTCCATTTCTTTCTTACTACCCTTCTTCTCTTTCGTTCACGCTTTCATTCTTCTCTTTTTCATTCTTTCCGTTTGTCTCCATTTTTTTACTACCCTTCTTCTCTTTCTTTCACGCTTTCCTTCTTCTCTTTTTCATTCTTTCCTTTAGTCTCCATTTCTTTTTTTAATATCCTTCTTTTCTTTCTTTCACGCTTTCCTTCTTCTCTTTTTCATTCTTTCGTATGATATTTATATCTTTTTTACTACCCTTCTTCTCTTTCTTTCACGCTTTCCTTCTTCTCTTTTTCATTCATTCCTTTTGTCTCCATTTCTTTTTTACTACCCTTCTTCTCTTTCTTTCACGCTTTCCTTCTTCTCTTTTTCATTCTTTCGTATGATCTTCATTTCTTTTTTACTACCTTCTTCTCTTTCTTTTCATTTTTCCTTCTTCTCTTTTTCATTCTTTCCTTTTGTCTCCATTTCTTTCTTACTACCCTTCTTCTCTTTCTTTCATGCTTTCCTTCTTCTCTTTTTCATTCTTTTCATTTGTCTCCATTTCTTTTTTACTATCCTCCTTCTATTTCTTTCATGCTTTCCTTCTTCTCTTTTTCATTCTTTCCTTTTGTCTCCATTTCTTTTTTACTACCCTTTTTCTCTTTCTTTCACGCTTTCCTTCTTCTCTTTTTCATTCTTTCCTTTTGTCTTCATTTCTTTTTTACTACCCTTCTTCTCTTTCTTTCACGCTTTCCTTCTTCTCTTTTTCATTCTTTCCTTTTGTCTTCATTTCTTTTTTACTACCCTTCTTCTCTTTCTTTCACGCTTTCCTTCTTCTCTTTTTCATTCTTTCTTTTTGTCTCCATTTCTTTTTTACTATCCTCCTTCTCTTTCTTTCATGCTTTCCTTCTTCTCTTTTTCATTCTTTCCTTTTGCCTCCATTTCTTTTTTACTATCCTTCTTCTCTTTCTTCCACGCTTTCCTTTTTCTCTTTTTCATTTTTTCCTTTTGTCTCCATTTCTTTTACGCTTTCTTTCCTCTCAACCTTTCCTTCTTCTCTTTCTTTCATATTTTCTTTCATTTTGTTGGGTTTCTTTTTCATGCCCCTAAAACCTGAGCGGTTTTGTGAGTGGAAGACACTGATATGATTTCAGTGGAGCGAAAGGACATTAAAAAAGGAAGTTTCACGAATACAGATTACGATTGACATTACATTTAAATTTTAGAAGATTGTATTTGGCAGGAAAGCAAGACACTGGAAATGTGTTCGAAAGGTTAGAATTTCGAGAAAATTAATATTAGAATATTATTTGCTTTCTTGCTATATTTTTCCACCTTCGTTTGTGTTATGGTCCGGTTCCTTGTACCACGGTGATAGTCCAAGGTAGAACCAATAAAGAAGAACTCGAACAGAGATATGGAATAACACAGATACATTACAAACAGGAATATATACAGAGAAGTAGAAATATTAGTTTGAAGAATCAGGTTTAGTCGCGAGAATAATGTAGTCTCGACCAGTATCACTATTCCAATGTCTTGTAGTAATTGTCTGAACGCGACTCTGTTTCGGACTGCCTCTGACTCGACTCTTGACTCGACTTGAACTACTGGCGATAAACGGGTTCAGGGTCGGTTTACCTCCCCGAAATAGACTCCGCCCCTCGGCGTAGCCTCGTTCCGGTTCTTCCCCGGCCGAAGGGAGAGAGTTCAGCCGATCTGTCGTTCAGTACTTGAGCGACTGACGATATTCAGTCACCACCCCCACGAGGGCGTCATGTGGCACAAGGCCTTTTTAACGTGGGCTCTCCGAGCCCGTGGCCTCTGCCAAAAATATGCCCATTGAACCCGTATAAACGGGCTCAGGGCCGGTTTACCTCACCGAACGAGACTCCGCCCCTCGGCGTAGCCTCGTTCGGGTTCCTCTACGCCCGAAGGCAGAGAGTTCATCCGTTCAGCCGGTCGTCCGACATCGACTGACTTTCTTGCCTACTCCTGAGGCGCAGTATTTATTAAGTATGGAATAGTCTATTATTATTATAGGTAAGATCCCATAACAGTTTGTCTTTCTGCTTGTCTTTCTTTTTGTTCATTGGTTTTCATTAAGGCTCTATTATTTGATTTTCATTCTTCTAAACTTTCTTTCTTGCCTACCTTCTTTTTTTTCCTTCAATCTTTCCCGCTTTCATTCTTTTTCTCTTTCTTTCTTGCATTCATTTTTATCCTTCGCTCTCTATTTTATTTTCTTTATTGTTTGATATTATTCTCCATCTTTTTTTTCTGGTTTTTCTTTCTAGTTTCCCTTCTCACCTTTTTTATTCGCTTTCCTTGCTTCTTTTTTTATTTCTTGCTTTAATTCTTCTTTATTTTCTTTCCTTTTCGTCTTCTTTCTTGACTTCATTCTTTCTTTTTTGCTTACATTTTACTTGTCTTGCTTCCTTTCTTTTTTACTTTCGTTCTTTCGCTACTAATCCCTCTTAACCAACCACCATTTCTTTCTTGCTCTATTTCTTTATTTAAGCCTTTTTTTTCACTTTCTTTCTTCTTTCTTTATTTTATTCTTGCCACCATTTTTTTCTTTCTTGCTTGATGATTTGCTTCTTTTTTTATTTTTCTTTCTATTACATTCATTCTTGCTTTCATTCTTGTCTACGTACTTTCTTTCTTTTGCTTTTTCTTTCTTTCTTTATTTCATTGTTTCTCTTTTTTTCTTCCATCTTTTGTCTTCCATTTTCTGACTTCGTTCGTCCTTTCTTCCTTTCTTCCTTTCTTTCCGGTTTTAGTTCTCCCTTTCTTCCTCTCTTTCTTTTTTCTTTCCTTCTTTCTTTCTTCTCTGCTTATCATTTTCTTCGTTCTTTTTGTTTTCTTTTCTGCTTCCATTCTTCCTTAATTCCTCCCTATCTTTTCTTTCTTTCTTTCTTTCTTTCTTTCTTTCTTTCTTTCTTTCTTTCTTTCAGCTCCGTTCTCCATTTATATAACTCTCTTTCTCTCTCTCTCTTTTACATGTTCCTTTTCTCTCTCTTTCGATTTCTCTGTACTGATAAATCATGTTTTATTAATTAACATTTTTAAATTAAATTAATTAATTTTTCGGTCGTTCTATTCACAATATTTAAATTCTCATTCAGTTTCGATTTATTCTAATTTCTCCTGCACTGCTCCCTTTTACACCCTCTCCAGAAAGAAAAAGTTGTAAAGTAAGTGCTATCAATTGCAAGAAGTGCTGGTGATCAAAGAAAAGTGCTATCAATGAAAATGCTATCAATTGTATGGTGTTATCAAAGTGCTATCAATTGTATGGTGATCAATTCATTTTCCACATTCCAAACTCTCTCTCACAGGCGGGATGTCGCGAGTCTCTCTCTGTATATATATCTCTCTCTCTCGCTTTGTGTATCTCTCTCTCTCGGAAAGTGCTCGAACGAACATCTCCTGGTTCCAACCAGTCTGAACTTCACGGCTAGGCCCCGCCATGCCATTTACATGATAAGAAACCACTCCTTATTCCACCAGCGAGAAGTAAGACACTTTCTTCCGTGAACCACTTCCCTATGGAACAGACTCCGAAGAGGATGTTTCCCCGATCACCACAATCTTAACCTGTTCAAGTCTAGCGTTAACCATTATCTTCCTCTCCTATCCATATAAACTACCCATTGGTGAGAAGTAAGTTCCACTCAAACAGCTTCTTCCTACAAACTACTGCCCTATGAAACAGACTCCCAAGTGGATGTTTCCCTGATCATTACAATTTTAACCTGTTCAAGTCTAGAATCAACCGTTATCTTTCCCTCCTATACATATACTATATACTTAACGTAATCATCTTCCTCGATTGGCCCTCGTGTCTTGCACAAGGAGAACCTCTACTGTAAATGAATAAATAAATAATTTTCAAAAAACAAGAAAAAATTCAAAATGCGACCTTCGAATTAGAGATATCAAAATCAAGCAAGTACGAAAATTTAACTCTTTGGAAAGCGTTTTAACAGAAGAAAGAGAATCCGGAGGTACATTTTAATAACGAAAGATGTCTTCCAAAATTAAAACAACCTACAAAGAAACGGGAAAGTCTCGTTAGCAAGACAATTTCGTCACAGATTAGTAAACTTTTTGAAGCTATAACTGAAAAGAAGATTGTTGATCACTTCATTAGGAATATCATTTTGCGCGACAAACAGTAACGATTTTGTTCGGCCTGGTCCACTGCTGATATCCTAACAGAATTAATGCGGCACTTGACAACGAATACGTCTCAAGGGCGATCATATTACATATCTCAAAACCCTTTGACAAGGCGTTCATCAAGGGTTACTGCTCAAGCTCTCCCGGTATTGAATCACTGAAAGAGTTTTCTCATTTATAAAGTCCTTCCTAACGGGTGGGTCTGCTAACGACCATACCTCCGAGGTCCAAGCGATTAACGCAGGCGTACCCCAAGGTTCATATGGGGCCGTTGCCGAATCGTTAGAATGTTTGCATTCTCCCCATGGAGGATTTGTCAGGAAGGAGACCTCCTGATGTTATCGGACTGGAGGGGTCAATCCCAGCGTACGGCATCTTTGGAAAGTGCCTGAAAACATAGCACGGGTTAACCAAAGAAAGAAAGAAAGAAGAACGTGGCAAACAAAGAAAAAGAGAAAGCTTGAAGTCTAGTCCACAAGAATCTCTAACATGATAAAAACGAACCAAAAGTATTGTAGGGCGTTAGAGGAAACCCTTGGGTGACGTCGATAGCTATGCTAGCACGAAGTCACAGGTCATCGTTGCCGAGGTCTTGAGTGTCCTGACCTTGTTCAAATTGTTGATCACGCTAGATGGCACGCTCTTTCCCAAAAAATGTAACTAAGGTCTGCTCAGCATAGTTGCAGTATAAACAACAGCTCTGTGGGTGTTGAATAAACAGAAATGCGCCTGAGCAAGCGTCTGCAATAGGGATTGGGTAGCCACCCTAGTAGACTGGTATCCTCGAATACGGGTAGCCAGCTATACAAATATTATTGTAACCACACACACACACACACACACACATATATATATATATATATATATATATATATATATATATATATATATATAATACATGAATTATTCACACAAAAACTAATGCAAAGGTTAATGATTTAAATGGCGAGACATCCATCATCGCAAACAATTCAAATAATATACAAAAACCTTTATGAATGTTATGATCCTTGTTTATATAAATTTCTGTCGTATTAGTTCTTATTTTACTACAAGCTTTCGTCTGTTCCTACAGACATCTTCAGGTATAGAATAGATGTTGTTCTTGTTTTTTCTCTTAGTAATAAGAGGACAATGAAAATATATGTATTGTTGTATCCGAAAATGCTCACGTCATGAAGGAATACTACACATAGAGGAAGAATGAACAATTAATTTCTATTTTGATCTCTTGTAATTGGTGTTTCTCTCCTCTATCATTCTCCGTCTCTCTAACCGTTTAACGAAATAGGCTTGTACGTGGATGACTTGCTCTCGTTCGCCGATTGAGCACTATGGAGAAAAGGAATTTTTAACAGTAACTGCACCTACTTATAACACATCACTTTTCAGTTATAAATTGAGAGCTCTGGCGGCTGATTTATATACATCACGTATATAATACGTTAAAAGATTTATTTCTCTACCGTGCACCTGTAACTTAGAGATGAAATCTCTGACTGATGCCAAGTCTAGTTTCGATCCCGATTCGAAACAATGAGATGTCTAGCCACACTGATGAGCTGTGATACAGTAAAACAGGCTTGTATGCAGATGTCTATATTTCTCTCCCAAAACTTTAGAGAACGTAGTTACTCTCTGGTCAAAATGGCTGTCCATCGTAGCTTAGATGTGGCAAAACGTCGTCACATTACTTTTTATGCTCTGCAGGTCCCAGTTTACTTAAAAGCAGTTGTACCTTTTTCTCGTCTGGATAGGCATGACAGTCCTTCTTGAAGATTCTATCTTCTCAAGCTTGCCTCGAATATATGACCTTCTTTAGGCCTATATAGAAATTATCCTATTGAATTTGCTACAGCGTCGACAGCAGCCTTTCTCAACCAGGGTTCCCCGGAACCGTAAGTTTCCACAAAAGGTCCCCAAGGATACCGTAAGAACAGGTGAGATAAGTTAACGCAATTTTGGCTTTTTATTTAATTTCATATACATTAAGTGAGTGAATTAAATTTTCAAAATATTCAACCTTAGCGTTACGACTGCACGCTCCAAAAGTTTGTATCCGTTAACAATAACACATTAAAAAAAAACATTTCAATTCGCATTATAGTTTTTGTCTTTGATGATACCTGAATTTTACCAAAAAACAAAAGAATTTCAATGCTTGAAGATGACTGAATATACAATCGAAAGTACTTGCGTATTAAAGAAAGACCTTAAACAGCTTCTAATTTTAAAAACCAAGTATCATAACATTGATCAAGTGATTTGTAGGTTAATGCATCATTAAAATTTTGTTAGCGATGGGATTTCACCATTTTATATCATTAACTGTGTTAATTACTTTTTGTATGTATGATTCCTTGTAATATATATTGAACTACACCGCATATATTTTATATATATATATATATATATATATATATATATATATATATATATATAGGGTCTTTTTTTCTCTGTAAGACGCTGAGATTGAATCTAGCAAAGGTGTGCGAGTGTGCATCAATTGATCTTATTTTTGAACCGACCGAACCACAGGTAAATCACTTTGTTTACATTGACTTTTCATTTTCTCTCCTTTTATATATTTTCTCTCTTTCCCTAACCTTTCTCTCACACATGCACATACATTCCCTCTCACACATGCACATACATTCCCTCTCTCTTTTCTCTCACTTTCTCACAGATGCACATGCATTCCACACACACGTCTCTCTCTCTCTCTCTCTCTCTAACATATGCACATACATTCTCTCTCTGTTTTTTCTCTCTCTCACACATGCACATACATTCCCCCTCTCTTTTCTCTCTCTCACACATGCACATACATTCCCTCTCTATTTTCTATCTCTTACACATGCACATGCATTCCCTCACTCTTTTCTCTCTCTCTCTCTCTCTCTCTCTCTCTCACACACATATGTCATACATTCCCTCTCTGTTTTTCTCTATCTCACACATGCACATACATTCCCTCTCACTTTTCCCTCTCTCTCACACTTGCACATACATTCCCTCTCTCTTTTCTCTCTCACACATGCACATATATTCTCTCTCTCCCTCCCTCCCTCTCTCTCTCTCTCTCTCTCTCTCTCTCTCTCTCTCTCGCTTTTATTCGATCATTTTAAGTCCCTATTTCATATAATCTCCTATTCTCTTTCTCCACCTCCGTTTATTCTTTCTTTCACCCTCTCTGGAAATTGACACTTTTAAATGCTCTCTCTCTCTCTCTCTCTCTCTCACTCTCTCTTACTCACATTTGATTTCTGCTCGCTCTCCCCCTCTATCGCTCTTTATCTCTTTCTCACACACAAACGCACACACACACAAACACACAATGTGAAATTTTATCAAATTCTTTTCTCCCGGTAACGTTCGTTTTCTCATTCCTCTCAAACAATCTTATATTCATTCACACATTTCTGTTTATTGTTTCACTCTCATTGTCTCTCTCACCTCACACACACACACACTACACACACACACACACACTAACTGGCTCATTCACACACCACCTCTCTCATTCACTTACTCACTCACTCGCTTACTAATTCACTCAGTGGCTCATTAACTCAATCGCTCAATCTCTTAATCACTCACTCACTCGCTCAGTTATTCACTTACTCACTCTCTCATTCATTCACTTACTCGCTCGCTTATTCACTCACTCTCATTCACTCACTCACTAGCTCACTCGCCCATTTATTCACTCACTTACTCAGACACTCACTCGCTGACATTCATTCACTCACTCGCTCTCCCATTGACTCACTCACTCGCTCACTTATTCACTCCTTGATTTACTCACTCACTTGGTCAATTGTTTACATACTCTTTCTCTCATTCACTTTACTCGCACTCTATCTATCTATTTATTT